TAGTGGATCAAGCAGTGGATCTATCTCCTATCTTGAGGGTATTTGAAGATCATCAAAGAAGTCATGAGCAAGAAATTGAGGTCATGGAGGGTATATAGACATCATGGAAGACATAGAGAGTCATTTTGAAAGTGAGACAAGTCATTGATATGATCACAAGAGTTGCAGTTGAAGACAGTCAACTAGGGTTTCATCTGGGTCAACCCTAGGTCAACCCTAGGTCAAATGCTTGATTGAATCAAGGCCTGTTTGAAAGATGTGGGATGCCTCATTTGACATGTAGATATGGATGTGGTGTTGTGCCAAGAAGGAATCAAGAGAAATCAAGAAGAAGAGGAGTTTCTAAATTAGGGTTTCTGTGTAAAATCCCCTAATTTAGGTCAAACTTACAAGCAAGATAATTTAAAATGCAAGCCTCAAATGGATCCTTGGCCAACATGAAACTTGTATAGGATTTCAAGACCTTTAATTTTAGTGGTGGAAGACATCAAGTAGATTTATAGAACTCAAGTTATGGTCCTTGCAAGTTACAGGTCATCTGAGGCATCTGAAATTTTGTCTGTGAAAGTTACTTGTCTTCCAAGCAACTTTTACCTCTCAAGGAGCTTTCAAATGGATTTCTGGTCAACATGAAAGTTGTTCCTCATGATCTTATATTTCTAGAAAGGTATGGTATGCCTTCATATGATTTGTGGAACTCTACTTATGACCTTGGCAAGCAAAGGGTATTTTGGTCATTTGAGAATTACAAGTCATTTCAAGCATATGCCCAAAACTCACACAAGGAAGCTTCAAATGAAAAACTTCACAACATCAAAGTTGTTCCAAATGACATTTTGAGTCTAGAAAAGTGGTCATGAAAGTTGGGAAATGCTCATAGCTCAAGATTGCAAATTTGGTCATTTAAAAGGTGAATTTAATGAATAAAAGTGACCTAAAAATGAGATTTTTCATAACATGTCCAAATGGGATGAAATTATAGGTCATTTTGATTGGAAAGAATGTTTTGAGACCATTGGCAATATTAGATTTTTGAGTTTAGTTCAAAGTTTGGAAGTTATACTAGTTGGCTTACAAAAGAAGTAACATATCCAAATTCACAAGGGATTTGAGTGCAAGAAAGTTCCAGCAACTTCTAGATGGTTCCATGAGCATCTATATATTGAGTAGAGTGGATCCAATCATTGGTTGGTGATTCATTTGGTTGAAAACTCATAGTTATATCTCATTCCTCAATTTTGCAAATTACACAAAAACTCTATCAAATCTTCATCATTCTTCAAAGTTCTTGATCCTATCATCATCTACATTCATCATAGAGCAAGTTTCCATCAAGATCTGGTTGAATTGAAATAGAATTCGTGTGCTACCAACTTCATCATCCAAAGTGCAAGAAGAATCCAATTGCAAGATCAAGAGCATTTGAGCAGGTGTTGCTGCATACAGAACCAAGATCCAAGTCCATTGATCAAGTCTAGAGCACTGCTAGCTGTGAATCCAAGAGCATCACTATCTGTTTTCAAGATTATACCAGGTTGGTTTTCCTTTGAATTAGCTTAAAATAGATTGCATGATAGATAATCATTAGGTTAGAACTGTTAGGAATAGGTAGATGATTAATTTCAGTGAGTTTGAGAGCATTTCATGGAGTTTACCATTGGAGCACGAATTCTGTTGAGACTTAGAACTTGATGATTAGGTTGTTAGAATCTTGAATTGTTAGTGATTATTGATCAGTGAAAGGTCATGAAGAGATTAGTACACTTAGATTGTGGATTGGTGATGATGAAATTTCTGAGCAGTTCTGAGTTGGAGATCGTGTTTCATGATTTATGTTATATGAATTGATGCTGATGATATGAGCGAATTCAGGGAGAAAATTAGAGTGATTTTGCTTTTTACATGTTTGAATTTGATGAAGAATTGAGCACGCACGAGTTGATAGAAGATAGTGTGCATGAAGCTGTGTTCATGGATGCATTTGCAGAAACCCTAGGCTAATGAAGAAGACAAGCCTGAGATCGTTGGATTGAGAAGACTGTGTTGACTGAGATTTTGATCTGACGGCCTGGATTTGAAATGAGAATTGAGAGGGAAGCTAGTAGCATGAAACGCGCCGTTTCATTTAAGTCCTCATCTGGGCTTAGTTGGACCAACTATTATTGCCACCCCCCAACCAAAAGGCCCATGTGTTTTACACTACAATCCTTTGCTAAATACACCGCGCGCCTTTTATTTTTCCTTGGATTTTCTGAATGAATTCTGTGTTGATCTTGGGCTTAATGATCATGCTTTTCACACCCCCAATATCCAGGCCCACGCGAATTGAACTGAGTTTATTACTTTTTACACCGTTTTGTGTTTATTTTTCTTTAGTTTTTTTTCTGATTTAACTGGGCCGAGACGCGCCTTGCTACGCGCACCCCCAGTCTGGGCCCATCATCCGTTTTTCAAGTTAAATAACTACTAACTGCACCCCTAACCAATTTTAAGTCATTTTAATTTCCTTTATTTTTCTTAATTGTTTGAAAAATCATAACAAATTGAAAATTCCACATTTTTGATTGGTTGTTTTTTTTACTATTTTCATATTTCTGTGTAGAAAAATATCATGTAATGAAATTTCCATTTTATTTTCTTTTAATATTTTTTACACATTTTCTCTTTTAATGCCTTTTTAATAGATTTAATTTGTGCATAGTTTTTGTAGAATTTCTTTTAGGTGGTTCTCATAATCTTTTTAGGCCAATTTTCTTAGGATAACTAGATACATATATTAGGTGTCCCCTTGATTTTTATACCAATTTTTTAGGATTTATTTTAGGTTGTTTAGTTAGAAAACATTAGGCTAATCATTTAGGGTTGTGAATATAGTGTAGGTTTAACAAAACAAATTTTCTTTTGGGTTTTCTTTAGGACAAATTAAATGATGGGCCTATAGGGGTATTATGGGTAGATAATAGACCCCTTGGAAAATATTAGACTTCCCCTATTCTACTATTACTACTAGTATATTTCCTGTATCTGATTGATTGTGTGGTGTGCCCTCTCTAGGGTTATTATTTGACTGTGTGGGGTATTGGGCCTGCTTGGGGTTTGGGTTTGAGTTGAAGACTGTGCTGATGAAGCCCGTTGAAGATTGAGAGAATGAAGACCAATTTCCAGAGTTGATGAGGAGTATCTCTTGCTGGCAGCTGTTGAAGGTTATAGGATCTAGGAGCTAGGTAGAGCTCTAGAATAGAAACTTGATTCACAAACATGGAAGGTCTTGTTTGCCTCCATTCTTTCTCTATGATTCAAAGTCTCTTTTAAATATCCACCTCCTTCCTTTGGAAGGATTAGTGAATGTATTTAAAAGATAGAACTTTTGAGAGAAAACTGTCTGTATCATGTTAACAGTCAGTAGGCCACCCTTGGTAGGCAACTGATTGCTTAACATCCAATGCATCTTGTTAACTGTTCCTCATCTTGGAGAGTGAGACTTGAAGAAAAGCCCTGAAGATTGGAGATAGAGACCTTGCTTGAAGGCTGTGAAGATGAAGACTGATGCTTGCTTGAAGCTGGTAGATGGTTGAAGATGACTTGAAGACAGATGTTGATGAAGACTGTTGTTTGCTGTTTATAATTTTTGATGTATTGTTTGAATTTCTCGAACTGTATTGTTTGCCATTAACCTGTTAGGTTGAAAGCGAATTTTGTTCGCTTTTGCCTGTTGTTTTCTAGGTTCGAGGTTGAGTGGGACTCCCTTGCCTCGCTTGTATTGCTGCATCCATGCATTTTACTGCTTTATTGTATATCTGTTGTTTCTGTTTCCGTTTATCCCTTAGGATCTCTGTTTCTCTCTGTGCAAGAGAGGAATATGATAGACATTAGGTCTTAACCCATGCATGATAACATTAGGTTAGTTTGATTCCCCTTTTCAACCGTAGGTTAGAGTTCTGTCTCTTCTTTCTCAAAACAAACAGAAAAACACAATAAATATTTCAAACACAATAAAAGACACTTCTTCTGTAAAAGAATGTGAACTCATCAAAGCGTCATTTTTGTCCGTTTGGACCAATAATCAGAAAAACCCTTTTTCAGAAGGAGATAAAAGCAATCAAGACAGACTTGTGTCGTACGTGGCCCGAACTACGTTTGCTCTGATCTTTCATGCTGTATGAAAGTACGTAGGCATAGGATGCGATATCCTAGCGAGCAACCTTCCCCTCCTTTCCCGTAGGTAGGCGAACTACGTTGACTCTGATTTCTCGTTCCAGACGGGAATACGTAGGCATAAAGTGCGATACTTTGCCGAGTCATTTTATTTTCTTTTTTTTTAACCCCAAACCTGTAGAGTAGATAGAATAACAATCCGTACCAGAAAACAAGCGTGGATCCCGTCGAGTACGACGGACGTGAGGGGTGCTAATACCTTCCCCTTGCGTAACCGACTCCCGAATCCAAGATTTGGTTGCGATGACCATTCCTTTCCCCGTTTTGCGGTAGGTTTACCTCGAGCGTTTCCTTTCCCCTCTTTGGGATAAATAACGCACGGAGGCGACTCTTCTGTTCAGCCGGCGCCGATTTTCGCAGTAGCGACACTTTGTTCAAGCATAACACCTGAAGAAATTGATTTGAAGAGAAACAACAACAGAGAATGACCAACATAAAACACCATCAAATTTACGATTTAACATACAACAGTAATCAAATACAAAAGCAATATTGAATTTAATGTCAAAGTCAGAAACGAAAACCAACCGTCAATGAATGATCGGAGCTTTGTTGTCGTTACCGATGTCACTCGCGCGCCGCGGTTCTCGCTGAGTTATTGTTGTCGTTGTTTCTGCGAATGAAACGCAAGTGGTGTTCTGTGGTAGCTTGTTGCGACCCGCGACTTGGTATAGTCTTCAAGTTGAACCGCCACGACCGAGTTTGTTGAAATCCTCCAATATCACTGTTGCAATTTCGTTCAGAAGCTGAAGGTAGAACACGGTTTTCCTTTTTTGTCATGATGCTCAAAAACCTGATTTGTTGTATGCATCATAAGCTTGCCTTTGAGCTGGATCACTCAGAACTTGGTAAGCCTCACCTAAAACCTGAAAATTTTGTGCAGCAAGAGGGTCGTTTGGGTTTTTATCCGGATGCACTTGGCGTGCCTTCATGTAATAAGCTTTCTTAATCTCAGATTCGGATGCAGTTGGAGTGACACCCAGCACGTCATAGTATTCGGTCTTCTTCACCATCGATCTTCCCGGTGATCAAAAATTTAGAATGATATAGGGTTTCCAGTAAACGCGAAAACATTTAGAATGATACAAAAGCAATTACTCCAAGTCGATCACGTAGTTGACTGATGCAGTCGCGCAATGGTGGTTCCTTCTTTTTACCAACCGAGATAAGGCATGCCTCTATTCAGAATTGATTCGATACTGTACCTCGAACTCCAACCATGCTTTTCTAAGTTGAAAACAACTTATGCATTATGCTCTGAGTTGAGATGTTAGCGAATGAAATGTCGGACTCGAATCACTCCAAATGTTGTTATCATTCTTCATGTCAAAACTGAAAATGGCGGAGCCTATGATGCTTCGGGCTCTTGTTGTATAACCAATATTCTGGAAATGTCCCAACCTGCATAAAATCAACAGTAGCCCAAAATAAAGATCGAAAACATAACTTGGTGAAAACAAAAATCCACGGAAATAAAGTTGAGCTAAAGGAAAGCCTGTCTGCGATTCATCCGTTCCTCTTAACAACACCATTTGAGGTTCTACCGTCTTGTGGTGGTGACTCCAAGTACCTACTTCCCTTTCGATACTAGAACCCCACCCAACATAATCTCAATTAAATCATGGTACGCAAGCTGAAAAAATGCAGAACAAGTCGCAGATGATAACGTCGGCAGAATGCTCGAGGTACCGTTGTCCTGAATGTTGTGGCATATATTATGGTCGAAGCTGTAGAACCGCTTGCGTGTTTGGCCTAACGGCGGCGTCGCCTATGACAGGTTTGAATCCGAATCTGAACAATAGTATGTACAATATTGTCCCTGCACTGAAATCACAACATCGTAGAAATAAATTATGAGACCGGATCAAAACCTCGCTACTAAAACAGAGTTGTTACTGCGTTACTCAAGTTGTTGCCATGATGCTTAAAACCGGCAAATCAACAAAACAGTACAAAAAATGCCCACTCCAATTTCTGAAATGTCTAAGCAATGTTTGAAGTTGTCGTCATCAAATGTCAATGCCTCTAGTTGTTGTTGTGAAACTGTTGTGTTGTCGTTGCAGGGTTATTAGCACTGAACTCGTTGTTGCAGTTCTGGTCGTAGTAGTAAGGAACATCGGCGTCGAGAGTCAATCTGCGTCAACGCCGCCGTTTTAAGACATCAGATCCACTGCTATCTATCATCACTTGATGTTGCAACTTGATCCTGCATCAATGTTCTCTTATACACAGCAATTAGAACAATAATATATCAACCAAAATACAGTACCAATCAGTGACAAAAAAACTCAGTTGGCTTAAGAAACTGTTAGAAATAAACATGTCATGACACTCATCACGATTAACAATTTTAAGCCATCATTACCAACCGAACTAGTTTGATGTCACTGATAATGGAAACGGGTTGTGTGTGAAAGTTGTTGTGTGACGGTTTTCGCTAAGTCGCAACCGTTGTTGTCGCTGAATCATCACCGCGAGATGAAAAGTTGAGTGTGTCGGCGTTGATGTCGGTAGCTGCGGTTTTTGCTTTAAGTTGTTCATTAACCCTCCACCAGCTTGCATTGCCTCTTCCAGTAAAAGCACACCAAAAATTCGTCAACAATGAATTGGTTGGCATCCACAGACCACGAATGAACCTGTTGTTTTGTCATTTGAAGAAAAGCAATTGTATAGTACACCAATTCTTTGACATTAACTGCAACCAGCTTTCCTAATCTTGAATTACCCACAATGGTCAACAGAAATTCAAACAACTGGATAACAAATGATTCGAGGCTTATTTCTGAGCCATCTGAATCCTATCTTCCCTCATATGAATCTTCTGTTCCTTCAATAGATGCCAGTTCATAAACTCCCAAAGAGGAGACGAATGTATTCCACAATGGTCCCAATACAACCTCAAATTCACTTGAGAAATTTTGAATAAGCTGATTCAAACACTTCAGGACCTCCATTCCGATACTCCAATCATCTGGATTTTCAGACTGAACTGGAATAGAAGAAAATTTCTCCATCCATGGTTTAAGCAAAGGAACTACTAGAAACCTGTTTCTGCCTCCATTTTGTGTTGTTCATATGCCAATCGAAAAAAGAACTGTTGCTGCTAGGCATTATTGAGTCTCTGCTGCCGAGCTGCATTACGAGGATGATGATATTGTTGGTGAAACAGAGTGTTTTTCCGCTACTTCTGAAAGTCGTCGTGCTGGTGTTGTTGCGCTCGAGGATGCCTCGCCGGTAATCTTGCGGAAGCTGGTTTAAGTTGTAATGAAGGTGGTGCAACGGAAGCTAACTTGAGTCCGAAACTTGGATTACGGTTCCAACCTGCATACAGACAATAACACAATTCCTTTGCGAACTTGAAGTGGAACACGAGTTGGGTCGTCGTAAATTGTCGCTATTATCGTCGAGCTAAAAATGAACCAGCTAAGATAGTCGTTACTGCAACCGAGGAGGATATCAAAGGGAACTCGCAGCATGGGGACGAAAACCAGAACTTCACAACTGGAGCTCTTTATTACCAAAGTTACGTTAAAGGATGCTCGCCGTTTGGTGCGTTCGAAGAGTGAGATGAAGATAAATCGGCATGTAGAAAAATGGGAAGTGTAGAGGGTTAACAGTGGTGACGAAAGGTGGAAAACGGAGGGTTTACAAAGGGTTTGGTTGGGAAGAAGGTCGTGACAGAGGTGTTTTAAGGTTGAGGGTGTTTTCAGAAAAATGAAAGGGTTCAATGGTGTTTTTGAGCTGAGACGGGAAGGTGGGTTATAGCAAGGTTTCCGCTTATGTTTAGAGGTTGAAGGAGAGATTAGAAGTGTTGAAGAAATGGCGATGAAGGGTTTTGGGATGATGAGAAGGGTGACGGCGGCAAATCTAGGGTTTGCAGCGGCCGTTTAGGGTTTGAGCGCCGTTTAGGGTTTCTGAAAGGGGGTGGCCCAATTTAGGGCTCAATGAACAGTAACCTCCCTAAATCTGTAGGGTTTTGGTGAACAGTAGGTCACCCTTTATACACTACTTCTAAACCCTAATTCCCAATTAACCCTGTCTCTTATTCAATTTCTTTTTCTATTTTTCTTTTAATTTTTATTTAATTAACTAACTAATAGTCTAACTAATTAATTCTAATCTTATTTTAATTTTATCTTAATTAAACAATTCTAATCTAATTAATTAATAATCTATTCTAATTTAAAAAATTAAAATAAAATAAAAAAAAACTAATCTAAATATAATTTAAATTCTAAATTTTGAAATAAAAATCTAACCTAATTAAAAAAATATTACATTATCTTAAAATAATATATATATATATATATATATATATATATATATATATATATATATATATATATATAAATAAAAAATAATAACAAATAAAAAGATGCCACGTGGCATGCTCTTATTGGGCTAAAAAGCAAAAATGCCTGTTTTTGCTGAAAAATACGCTACGCTGTATAAGCGAGGTAAATTAAAAACAAAGTCGGGCAAATGAAAATTTTGAAAAAAAGGTGGGACACATTTGGGGTATGACAATACCAGAAGGTGTGGCATCATCATCCCTTGAAGATGCCTCACTTAGCCGAATCCCAAATGGTAGGTTCCCAGAGTCGATAACCCTCAAATCCAACAACCTGTCAAGCCCAAAGGGCCAGGCAAGATGCCATCAAAGAGAATCTCGTCTGAGTGTAAATTTCGTAGCTAGCTAGTGCAAGCAAAGCAAGCAGGCTAACCACTACTCTCTACTTCTAAGTCTATGTGCACTCAAGCCCAGGTCCGGCTTATCTCTCAAACTAACCCTCTACCCACAACACAATAACAAATATATACAGTACTGAAAGTAAATACAGAAAGATAAATACACACAAAACCCCATACGGGAAAACAAGCACTAGGATTGACTCGCATAGGGAACCACTGCAGTCCCCAGCAGAGTCGCCAGCTGTCGCTACTGCGAAAATCGGCGCCGGCTATGACAGAAGAGTTGCCACCATGCGTTATTTATCCCACAAGAGGGAAAGGAAACGCTCAGAGTAAACCTAACGCAAAGAGGGAAAGGAATGGTCATCGCAACCAAGTCCTGGATTCGGGAGTCGGTTATGCAAGGGGAAGGTATTAACACCCCTCACGTCCGTCGTACTCGACGGGATCCACGCTTGTTTTCTATCTAAGGGTGTGTTTATCTATCTAATCTAAAGGTCTGGGTTAAAAGAAAAGAAAATAACTCGGCAAAGTATCGCACTTTATGCCTAGGTATTCCCGTCTGGAACGAGAAATCAGAGTCAACGTAGTTCGCCTAACTACGGGTTAAGGGGGGAAGGTTGCTCGCCGAGATATCGCATCTCGTGCCTACGTACTTTCATACGGCATGAAAGATCAGAGCAAACGTAGTTCGGGCTACGGAAGACACAAGTTTGTCTGACAGTTTTTTTATCTCCTTCTGAAAAGGGTTTTCCTGATTAAAGGTCCAAGAGGACAAAAACAGAGTTTGAATGTTTGTTTGAGTTTTTTTTACGAAAGAACTGTTTTTTAGGATATTTGCAATCTCAGTCGCACTAGAGACTATGACCCAGGAGTGAACGCTTCGTATGTCACCCAAAGGGTACCACAGTAACATCCAGATTACTGGAGAGAGACCCTCCACCAACCTTTTCCCAGATAGCTTAAGGCTCGTAACACACGACTTCAATTAACCTTATTACTGTGTTTTTGAATTTATTTTGAGATGAGAAAGGAAAGACACCCTAAAACTGGTTGAAAGGGGAATCTACCTACAGTTATCATGCATGGTTCAAAACCTAATGTCTTTCATAATTCCCTCTTGCACAGAGGAAATCAGAGATCCTAGGGGAAACAGCAAAAGAAGCAAACAGTAAACAGTAAACAGTAAAATGCATGCTATGCAACAGTACCAATGAGGCAAGAGAAAAAATAATAGGCAAGAGGAGACAAGCTCCACCTCAAACCTAGAGGTAATCAACACAAGCAAACATACAATACAGAGAAAAACAAAAGATACATA